CCGCCACCAACCCCGGCTTGTCTGACACATCCAGCGATTACAGGCCTGCCATTCAGATGTAAATCGGCTGTGTGCATGTGTGTGCGTGACACGCAGGAGGCTGCGGGCAGGAGGCTGCGGGCAGGCGGCTGCGGCGTTTAATGCACCGTGCCACAGGAGAGCAGGATGGACCCGCATTGCTGTGCCTCCCCATGAAAGACGGCCTCCTCATCTCCTACGTGTTTATGCGCCTTCCAAAACAGAGGCACACACTGCAATACACATAATTACATACGTCCGTACGAACACGCATTCAATGCCCAGTTCACCTGAGCCGGGACCATAGAATCCCCATGTTCAGTTAACTGTTTTGGTTGCTACATTTAATATCAATTTTATATCCCATCAGAACTGCAACAGATACAGATGTTACACATATTATCCAATTCCCAGAATCACTTATACAGTACAGCTTCAGACTGGAGGCTGTTCCAGAAAGCTCCGGAGAACACCCTGGGTGAAAGTCCATCACAGGGCTTACAGTGCACACATATTAGAGTAAATATCAGTATCAGTCCAATATCAGTATCAGTCTGAAATTGACTGAAATATCAGTATCAGTCCAATATCAGTATCAGTCTAAAATTGACTGAAATATCAGTATCTGTCCAATATCAGTATCAGTCTGATGACTTGAGAAGTAAACTGGAGTACCATGAGGAAACCCAAGCCTACAGTAGAGAAAATGTAAAATCCACCTGCACAAATCTGAATTTGAATTGTGGCAGTATACCGACTGCAACCCACATTGAGAATTTAATGGTATATTTATATTAATATGTACTTATGGCTAAGTCCCAGTGCCTGTGATTGGAGGGTTGCCGGTTCGAGGCCAGCCTCGGCACATCTGCGGGTCCCTGAGTACTACTGTGGGTGGCAGCCCTTCGCGGCCAGCTTGCTCTCACCTACAGAGAGGGGGAGGCATAATAAGAGTTTCCCCACAGACAATAAAGTATCCATTGTTATTATTATTATTATAGGGGTAGCATTGTGGCCTCACACCACCAGGGCTGGGGGTTCAAATTCCACCTCTGCTCTGTTTGCGAAATTTGCATGTTCGCCCCCCCCCCCCCTTCTGCAGTCCAGAGGCATGTTGTTAGCTTAACTACTGTAGCATCTCTACATTGCCCATAGAGTATGATTATTTGCGCATGCTTGTGCCCTGCGATGGACTGGGACAGGCTCCAGGTCCGCATGTCACTCTGACCATAATACGTGAAAAGATGCCTGCAAATGTTTCTGAGGTAGAGCTCAGAGATCCAGCAGATAAGAAAGCAGAAACGATCTTCCATACGATCTCTGTTGACTGTCAGCTTTATCCTGCCAGGTGTGAATTCTGCAGTAACACCCCCACCCCCGCCTGATTGGACCACAGGTCCTGCACTCTGCATTGGGACCGCCCCCTTTCGCCACCTGAGACAGACGTACTCCACTTGTAGGGAATTAGGGGGAGGGGCCCAGGGAGGTACCGCGCGGCAGGCGGGCCCCGTGGGATCTCTGTTTATTAATGCGCCGCCGCATGATAAATTGGCAAAAGGGATGGGGGGGGGGCATGAGAGAGGATAAGGCGCTCTCAGTGCTAAGGGTGTCCCTCTCGTTTTCCCTCTGATTTATAGACGAGATGGATGGTTAGGCAGGAGGGTCATTAATTCAAGTGGACAGGGGAGCACACAGACAGGCAAGACGAGGGCAGCTAGGAATGGAGCCCCTGCCCATTCGGACAAGGAAACCCCACGCCTCACGGCCTGACTGGCAACAGGACAGATAACCGCTGCGACGTTATTAATTAGCCTGACTAATGTGCCCGTTAATGTCGACAAGATCAGTGCGTTCCAGGTCGTAACCGTTTTGGCCCGAAATTTATTGAGTCAGCATAAGACTCCCTATCCTAGGCGGCTTGCTATCAACATGATACCATCAATAACACAATTAAGAGCTGAGTGCTCAAGTAAAAAAAGCAACCCCTGTTGGCCTGGCCCCTTAACTCCTAATTTATAAATGAAACACCTGGTGTTTCAGGTGTAAATCACATATAAATCAACACTGCTGCAAAACTAGGCAGGACTGAGGGACTGTAGCTAACTAAAGTAATATATTTATTTTCACTCATAGCAAAAAAGCTTCTGTCCTTTTTGGAGTGAAGGGCTTTATGATATGTAATATAAAATACTATAATGGCCAGAACATATTAATTTTAAGGTATAAGAGAAGACAAAAGAGGTCAGTAAAATGTATTCAAAAATTATCACATTGGTGTGATTCAATCAAAAGCCCTTGTGCTTCTTAAGGTTACGGGATTTAATTCTTAAATTAGAGCCGTGGCACAATTCGGTCCCTTAAGCGTTATGCTTGTTAGCACTTGAGGCTTCCAGAAGTTTTCTGTTTAAAGGGCATGTTAAACTATGCCTGAAGACGCAATCGAATCCCTTTGGTCAGTCGGTTGACTTTCAGCTGGCATCTGTCCTCTAAAAATCACTAACGATCCCACCTCATTAACGGAATCCTGACATTCCCACTGATGATTTTATGCACATCTTGTGGCTAGCTTGTCATCTTTACGAGATATTGCTAATAAAATTTTAGGCTACCAGCACTGCTGGCAATTATTTGTTCTAAGAACGTTTTACGGAATGTTATGATTAAGGTATGAGAATGTTCAAAGTGTCCAGCTTTCCTGATGTTCCTGGAACGTTATCCCACTAATACAACTACTACTACAACTAAGACTAATAATACAAAAACTAATGTAAGGCTTGTAGGGGAGGGTAGCGGGTAATACTGTCATCTAAAGGTAATGGGTTCAAGGCTGGATGGTGTGTTTGCAGTACATGCATATAGCACTTTTATAAAATAATATTTTGTATCATTTTATATATTTTATATATAAACATTTTTTGTATTAAAAGTATTTTGAGGTAATGATGTTATCTTGCTGACACTGACAGAACCTTTGTTAAAGTGTGAATTGTGGATATAATGTCACGTTAATGTTACAGTACGAATGTTCGCTGCCAACTTTGAGAAGACCTTCCCATAATGTTGGCTAATATTTTCAGAACATCTCCCTTTAGCTGACAGCCATCAGAAAAATTTGATTTGCTTTTGGTACTAGTCTGGGTACCTGTACAGTCATTAAACTGCCTGCTCAGTTTTGACTAAATCTTCCTAACAAATTCTGTAGTGAGAGCACCCAGTCTGTGAGACTTAGATTTTATTTCTTGTGCACATTAAATGAAAAACTATCCTACATTATACTAAATCTTTGATAAAAAAAATAGAAAACATAATTTTTCATAATTTAAGCTTCTGTGTTCATATGACTTGATATGGAATCGATGTCAGATAAAAAGGTAGCTTGTGTGTAACGTCAGTCTTAATTGGCAGACATAGACCACAGCAGTATCACTGATTGGCTTTAAAGACTAGGTGTCTGGATGCTGGGGGGAGGGGGAATGTCATGTGACCAGCTCATGTATTAAAATGGCAAACGCACCCAGACCCTGCTGCTGTACCCAGGATTGGCCCTTGCTGTTACCTGATGTCTTGTCTCCAATCATTTGACAGTGTCTTAGTCAGATCCCTGCTTCCTTTATGTAAGTCTGCCATGGTTTACAGAGCATCAGAGGACAGCAGTCTATTTGCACGATAATTTTGCACGACAGTGAACAAATTTTTCTTTTTGCACTACTTCAGGTTATTGGTCTGTTCTGCACATTAATCTTAGTACGCTGTTTCCCTTGCACTTTGCAGTCATTTACACACCATACTCCTATGCTAATGTTTTTGGTTAAGACACCTTTGCACTGTTTTCTGTAAATTTTTACCCCACAGCTTCTGAGCTGAATCATTTGTGGTGGAACAGGGAAAGAACTAAAGCTACACAGGGCTCCGGCCCCCCAGGACTGCAGTTTCACAGCCCTGATCTAGACAGTAAGTGATGTTTTGGCAGCAGTACAGTAAATAAAATAAGTCAAAATACAAAAACACGAGAAATAAAGGCATGATGTCAGAATATCTCATTTACTCAACAAATGAATGTCTGGTCAAAGCTACTAATGAAAATGAAATGAAATTTTAGCACAAAACTCACATTTAACTGTTCACTTTGAATCTTTTACTAAATTTTGAGACATTAAGAAAAAAAGATTAACACTGATGGAAGCTGGATTGCGCTCCAGCAAAGTGCGATTTGGACACAAGGAGATGGAGCTGAGCTCAACCTGGCACCGTCTATTTTTAAACCCTGGTTGCACTGGATAAAAGTGTCTGCTAAATTAATAAGCACATACGGAAGACGGATGATATTCATGAACAAGACAGAATCTTTCTTGAAAGTAATGTAGGAACAAACAGTGAACTCCAGTTGGCCAGCTCTTAACTATTAATACAGGAAAAATATGTATAGAGGCCCTTGTGGTTATTTGAAGTGCATATGTTACCATGAAGAGGGAGACAAAATCTCTGATTAAAACCAAAAAGACAGAAATAATGGATCATTAAAACGCAAACAGTTAGGAGTGGTCTCTCATTCCATAATTAAGCTCTATCTTTATAATTACATTGATGTCAACCCCAAGATACAATGAACTGGCCCAGTTATTAACAAAAGCCTCTTGATGCCCAGTTATCATTTAAAAAAATATATATCCATATATCATGAAAAGGTGCTTTAAAGTGTTAATTTCCCAGCCGTGGAACACACATTGTTAAACGGCGATGAGTTATTACCAGACACGATCACAGACGATTTGAATTAAAAAAGCCAACATCTCCATTTAAATTTGCCCCTAATTGTTTTGTTTCAGTCTATTAATCTAAAACACTGACACAGAAGAAAGGATTTCTACAGTGATGGATGATGGGACACTCCAATTCCCACTTAATAGCAATTAATTTTCGGATACTCGCGCAAGTTTGGATAGTTTTAATTAGTTTGTACGGAGTAAAAGGGTAACTTCACCCCTGATTTCTATGAAGGCGGCGACTGGCTGACTAAATACGTTCTCATCAAAGCTGAGGGGGTGGGGCGGGTGTATCTGGCCGACCTTCCAAAGATTCACTGAGCATTTAATTTCCTATTTACACTTTAAAATACCTCATTTGCATAGCCCCACTGCATACGTTCCCTGGTAGGGCGGTTTAAGACAATAGCAATTCTAAATGTGATCATTCTGTGGCGTTTAAATTAGTTTGGGTCTGACGTATTAATGTTTGATTTAGCATGGGTCTAGAGGTGTGACATTTTAGTTGTGATGTGATTTTTGGTCTATATAGTTGATTTAAATAAGCATGCATAAAACATATTCATCAAGAAACTAAAAAAAAACATTCAAACTCCTGTGCTACCCTGTCCCTTTTTTGCTTGTCTATGGATATACCTGACACTTGCTGGCATATCAAACACTCATTTGATAGGCAGTGATTTATTTCTCAGTCGGATCACTGCTGAGTTCAGTGTAGCAGTAGTAGATATTGTATTGCATAAAACTCCAGTATAGGACAAATCACCTCACAGGTGTATATTATGTCAAATCAATATTCTTTTTTTTTTTTTAAAAATCAATGACAAAGTTTGAGTAAATATGTGATGCTATTAATGAACAATTTAAACAAAGGTTTGGGTTTGAAATCTAGACAAGTGTTTGTTTATGGATACTTAAACTAAGCCTGATTTCCTTCAATACATGTAATGAACAAATCATATAATAAGAATCAGAGGATAAATTAAATAATGGCTATGGTTAAATAACATAATGAAAAAAGCAATGTCAATATTGACAAATAGGGATTCCACTTGACCCTGGGTTGGAATTTAAAGGTGACGTGCGCTTACCGTCCAGGTAATCCATATGGAGGGCCCCCGCTCCTGTCCCGGCTGTCGACACAACAGAGGGGATGAGGTCTGCGTACGAGCTGCACTGACTCCTCAATAGCGCCATCTGATGGTAGTACTCTGCCGTGCTCAGACCAGTAGGGGGCACTGGTGAGGGACAGGGCGTGTCAGGGAGGAAAGGAATACAGGAGTCAATTGCCTGAAAATGTAATGGCACATGCAAGGTGAAAGTCAGCGTCTTTTCAGCGTCTGCATCGTGTCTAAGATGAGCGACTTCTTGGCTCTCTGCTAGGGCAAGGCTACCAGTGGGTGCATAGCTAGAAACTCTGGGTCCCCTTAACATGATCAGGGGCCCTTGTAAAGTGCTGTGGCCCCTGAGTTTGACAGGAGACTCATGCCCCCACTGCACTGTACTGGTGATACCAGTTTGAATGTACAACTCAACAAAGGAACAAAAAATCTGCAGTGACATTCCTCAGCTTTAAAATAACCTCGACTCTGTCTCTTTTTTTTTTAGACAAATGAGACTTTTCCTGCTTCCTGTATAGGTTTCCCTTTCCTTTCATCCCACTTTCTTTCTGGTGTGTGTGCGCGCCCCACCGGCGCGTGTGCCGTCCGCTGCGTCCGCAGCCGGCGAGGAACGCCGGTGTTATCGTGGGGGAGCAGAGCAGCTCAAACCGCTCTCCACCGTGCTACTTAAAGCCCAATAAAACAAAAGCCCAGATCTGCCCAGATCTGCATGCATAAAGAAACAGGCCCCATCTCTCCCCCCCCCCCAGCTCGCTCTATCTCTGTGCCCCCCCTTCCTTAGTAATAGAGAACTAAGTCCTTGAACCGCCTCCTAAAAATAAACATCTGGCATCGTGCATCGGTATGCAAATATCTTTCCCAAGCAAAAAAAATAAAAAAATGCACGTCAAAAAAAAGGAGAGAAAGAAAAAAGAGACAAAGTGCTTTTGGAGGCAAATGGGAAATCAGTTTAGCCCCATAAAATGTTATGGCTAATTCCTGCCTTTTTTTTAAGAAAGAACAAATATGGGATGATGAAAAGATCCTTTATGAAGCCTGAACGGGGTGCAGGCAATATGCATCTCTGATTGGTTCTGTAAACATAAGGAGAAATTCCAAATTAATTCGATCTGGGTATTATGTTTTTTCTGATGGGGGGGATTTCTTAATTGTCTTCATTTTTTCCAGTTTAGTGCTGCTTATGGATTGAACTATAATGTGCCTCTTTTTTTCAGGGTGGGGTGGTGGGGGTGTCCTAGCATCGATGTTTTAGCAGCAATCAGTGAGCCACCCCCTCCAGAAAGCAGTTCAAGGAACCCAAAAGGAGCTTTAATGCAAGGTGGGGCACGGGGCCTCAGTCCTATGGGACGTTCCACCACAGATGCGGGGGGACACGACAATTCTGACAGGGAAGAAAGAGAGAGAAAGAGAGTGAGACAGAGAGGTATTCCTGCCCTCCCAAATCCCTCGCATACTGGGCAGGAGCCCAACTCATGCCATCCTCAGAATCAAATCAGCTTTCCATTCATTTACTTATTTGGCCTAAAAATCAAAGCAGATTAAACTAGAAGGAGAGGAAAAAACAACAACAACAACAGCAACTGACATCTGTGGACTAACACTGCGGCAGGTTTGGGGACGGCTATTTCCTTCCTCATTTATTTATACAAGAGAGACACGACAAAACCTACACATGCTACCCGTGTTGCTGCCAGTTACATCATGAAGATGGGTAACACGTGCTCAGGTGTGTCTAGCCTGGCCCCAGGGGAGGCTGGGAATTGTAGTATCTAAGCCGCATAACTCTCCCCCCTCTCGTTCATTAAAATTTTAGTAACCTTGTGATGCTTAACGGGAAACATTGGTCCTCCTGACCAAAGTGACACAGTCACTAGCACACACCTTCAAATGTACTACAAACTTTCCTCCACCGAAACTTTAAAAAGTAGTGACCCAGTCAATTGGCATTCTAGAAAAAGGCCAGATTCACTTAACTGAAATACAGGACAATGAGCATATGCATAAATTACATACCATCCAAAGTGACACACACTTTTGAGAGAAAGCAGTATCAGACAATAGATGGAGCAATGCGGGGTTAAGGGCCTTCCTCAAGTCATTCTGCAAGGATTTCAGTCAGCAACCTTCCCATGACTGGCACAGTGTCCTAACCCTCTCAGCCTCGCACCAGCCCTGCGATGGGTCATAAAGAAGCCTTACACTGATTGATCATTTTACGCTTAGTGAGACAGGAATCTACATTAGTTATCACCTATTTAAAAACAGAACAACATTCTCTGTCACGGTGAATTATCACTTTTCCACGGCTAGTAACAGAGCGACAGCCCTTTTCACAATATAATATGACATTTACGCTACTGTGATTTTAGGAAAGTTAAACCAAAAATGTTTTCACTGCAGATCAAACATTTTAATCCTTGTGTGCGTAGTGGTTGGTGTCAGAATTCAGTTTTTGTTGCAATGTTTTCCTTTTACATTTATTTCTTTGGCAGACGACGTGTTACATGCCATCAGTGGAGAAGCTTTGCTCAAGGACCAGCAAGCAAACCACCCTGGCAGCTGTGGGATTTGAACCGGCAACCTTCTGAGTCCTCACTGAGTCACACCCTGCTCTGAGTATACTCAGTTCTACATATTCTACTACTCATTTAAAAAACTTTAATTGCCCCCTCCCCCCCCCCATCACCGACAATACACAAACTTGTCAACAGAGCCCATGAAACTTGAAGTCCAAAATGTTAACTTTAACCTGGAGGCGGGTCGAAGCCTGGTGAGTCTCTTCCTGTACGTAGACAAGGGCTACAAAGAGAGAGTGCAAAGGAGTGTGTCGCCGAAAGACACACTATTTATTTTACAGCAGCAGGACAGAGAAACAGAAAGGAGCTAAATAATTTCGTATGGCCACTGTTCCCATGGGCCGGGCGGCGGGGCTGTAATTCATCCCGCCGCGGCTCTCCGGCTTCGTTTATAATCTATCTCCCCGGACATGTTTACCTTACCGTTTCTTATTCATACATTTCTCCGGGGTTTGGCAGGACTGTGTCTGTGTGCCATTCGGCCCACTTTGAAGAATAACCCGCAAGCCATCGCTTTAGCTGGGGGGGGGGCTGATCTGAATGGAGGCCTTTCTGGGGACAGGGGTGTGTGTGTGTGGGAGGAGGGGGGTTGAATTGCCTAATTAGATCAGGTTCTATGAAGCTGCGCCAGAGGAGAACCCCCCCCCCGCCCCCCCATGCTTCAACAAGGACCACCTCACCCCACTTGGCCTACAGCCACCCCCACCTTTTCCCCTTCAATCTCAAAAATTCACCTAACAACAATTGACGTGGGTCCGTCCCGGCCCAGGACACAAAGCAGGGGCCCGAGTGCAGCCATTACGGGCCCTCTGCCTCCACGGGGCCACTTCTGGGGCGTTTCCAGACACACTTAAAATACTTCCTGAGAGTTTTGTCCCCACTGTTTGTATTAGCTCACTTCTGCAAAGGCATTGCCCTATATAAGGAAAATCTGCCCTTTCTGCACAGTATAAACATATTAATTACATCTGGGAGGCGGGGGAGGCGGATATAGACGACTATATGTTATATTTAAAACAAGAGCTGTTGTACGTTTCACAGCTGCTTATCCCTTTAAATCTCTTAGCGGTGGAATGCAGTCTTAAAATGGAAGGTCGAACCTCTGGAACAGGAAAAAAAAAAATTCCATTTTAATAATGGAGTCCCAGCGGCTTGGGTGGTGTTCATCATCTGGATTTATTCCTGAGCTCTCGGTTAAACGCCCCTGCTCGTATGATGCTCTCCTTGTCCCTTCCAGCAGAAAGTTTCCTCCCTGTGCTTATTCAAGGTGTAAACACACATGCCCGGATAAAAATGTAGCACTGGATCCAACTTAGATGTACTCTTACACGGTAGGAGATGTTTGAAGCATTAGCCAGCCAGTTCCAATATTCCCAATGTTTTCTAGGCCTAGAGAAATCCACGTAAATTAATAAGACTATACAATCATTGAGATGAAGTATTTTTTTCTCAACACAGACCTGCATGAATTAACACTCTGATACAGCACAAGCCCACAATCACATTAAATGTGCGGCTCATCAGATGGGCAAATTTTATTGGTTGACATCTAAGGAGATGAACAATCACGGCTTGGTTTAGATCAGACTGCAGAGAGCCGCTGGGGAACTGGCCCAGGTGAGGTGGGGCTCCCACGTAATTGAGTAATCATAGCTCCAAGTCTCAATTAAGTCTGCCGGCAGAGAGCTCATTTGGCAAAGGGGCCGCCAAGGCTCGTTTAAGCAAACGAATTCCCCTGGCCCCCTCTGATCGATTGCTCAAGCCAGGTCTCCCCGGGGCTCCCCTGGCCCCCACCCCAACCTCTACTCATGACCCCTGAAGCTGGCTTCTCTTGAACCCTGTCTGGATCATGTCCGGCCATGGCCTCGAGAGACCTTGACTGAGAAGTGAAGGCCACGACCAGTGACCTCAGAAATAACACATGTGCTTCTCGGGCTTCCCCCACACATGAGGGGTGAAAGGCTGTGGTCAGCCTTTGATCCTTCAGAACCTGCTTCTGGCTGTGCCTCTTCTGCCCGCCGAATGTGCAGTTCGTTATTTGTGCATTTGCTTGACATTCCAGAACCTCTGTAACTTAAAACTGGAAATTAATCACATTAGGTTTGACCAAATATCTGAACTAAACTGAACTGTCTCAAGCTGGTAAGGGGACTCTTAGAAAAAGCCGTGGGCCTAAATAGGGACCCTGAAGCACTCACCATCAGCTTGGCTCAGTCCCCGGGGGGCGGCGATCATTGAGAGCGAGGGACTGCTGTGCAAGGTGCGAATGTAGTCCATGTAGGGGTTGATGTACGGGTGGGGCGGATTGAACGGTGACTCCGCACCCACTGAGGGGTTCCGGTGCGGTGAGATTCGGATGAGCGAGATGTCTGAGAATGCTGGGCTTCCAGCCAGTGCAGGTGGCCTAGAATGACAAACAGAATAATACACAAAATGATTCTGGTTATATATAGTTAGTTTTGTGTGCTGCTTACCCAGTGCAACACACAATTTTTACCGATTTATAAAGCTGGATCTTACTGGAGGTTTTCATTCACATTAACTCTCGGCAGTATGACAGCTAGGCCTCTCCCCAGACATCTACAAGTAATGTTGAGGTTAGAAGGGCAATTCCTGGTATCCATTAAAATGTACTATTCCAGCTTTGCTTCGAGTTTGGCCTTGGCCGACTCTGGAACAACTTGAAATCATGTGACCAACCACACGCTATGATATGAAAGTGGCTAATGTACTTTTCAGAAAGTCTAGAACCATGGAAGGGCTGGAACACAGTGATGAGAGATACAAATGTGCAAAGAACAAGACCATATTTTCTGACTACAGGGGGTTTTGGGGCCCAAAGTCTAATCATGTCACTCCCTATCCTGCCTCAGAATAGAGATTCCCAAGGAGATTTATAGCTCCACTTTTAAGTCCGAAACTTTTTTCCAGAGATCAAAGGGTGATTCTATCACTATGTCTTTTAGGGAACAGGCTGATGTGATTTTTATAGCTACCCATCATTTTCTAATGTAAGATATATTAACTATACATGGGTATATGTGTTAGGCAGTGAAAGCAGGCAATAATGATCTATTGTACAAGATCCATTGTACGAAAATGATATCAAACTGGGCCTTTACTTAGGGCTGTAGTCTCTTTGCAGCCAAAAGGCCACATAGAAATCAGTTTGTCTTCAATAATTTTCAGACTGCTACAGTTAAAGAAAAAAGTTTTAAAACCTGCGCTATTTTAATCATATGACAAGCCAAAACACGCTTATAATGATGACCTGGTGGATAAAAATGTTCTCAGAAGGCGTTGAGAAATCCCAGGTGTACTCAATCGATTAAAACGTAATGGATGCTAGGCCAAGCCAATCGATCTGCTCCCAGCCTCATTGGTAACAGAGGCAAAATCACTCAGCAGGGAGCCAGTGCAAGAGAGGGAAAGTTCAGGCATGAATTTGGCTTGAAGTGACCTTGAGTGAGACCTCAGGGACAGCAATGGCCCAATTATGCCCCTAGCTCTTCCCTAGAGCTCCCACAATGCCCCACTTCCATCTCAGCCCCACAATTAAACATCCCCACACGTAATGTGGAACCAAGACAGCAAACTGCACACACGCAAAAAATGCACTGTTTTTCACAGAACTTTTCAGCAGGTTGAGTCCATTAAAGTCTTCCGTGATCCCTAAAAGTTCCCCCCATTTTTTTTGTTTATTGGAAGCCCCAGTAAGATTCAGCTTCTCTTCATTTTTACAGACACATACTGAAAAACCTCTGCTCCTAAACAAGCTGAAAACCAGATCCCCCTAGTGCGCTTTTACGTGGCGTGCCCGTGGGAATCTGCAGTGGCTGTCATTCCGGTCCACCCAAGGTTTTCCGGGTCAGCGGGTGGTCCATTGAGTCAGAATGTGGGAGATGAGGCAGCAGCATCCCCCAAGGCCAGAATTCTGGACCCAAATTCCTAGGTTTAGTACCCATCATTACTATAGTACATATAAAATGCAAGATTTTCACACGTTCCTGCTTCCCATTCCATATGTGAATAAACTCAGTTCAAATCCTGCATTTTAAGCACACTGGCATCCAAAGACGCAGCTAAAATTCAAGTTAAAATTTGCATACCGGCAATGTGAGAAGCCAAGAGCGAGAAGAGAATATGATTTCAAGTTAAAAGGATTCAAGCACAAAGGGATTATTTGAAAAAGAAAATATTTATGCCTGATGATGTTGATTGAAACCTTGTTCTCAAACTTCATCTAGGAAAGCGGTAAGAACAAGAATATTAGTGACTGGCACCAGACACCAATCAAGTGACAACAAGTATGTACCATTTTGTTCAACACTAAAATTTCATCGGAATTCTGGATACATTCATAAACATTTATATAAAGGTAACTGTTTAAAACACTGCAACGTTAGACTAAACTGACGAGCAAACCTAGTTTCTTAACTGCAGACTTTCTTTTGGGCTTGCAATAAATATGGTTTTTATGAGAATATGCCTCAGTCTTACGGTAATATACAGGAAACATTCCAAACACTGGCACGTTTGAGACGGCATTTCATCCCCAGTGTCTCAGAGGACCCCAAAACCACTGATGCACATTAATCCACATCACGGACGAGGCGAGCCCAGGCTGGGAAGGCTCTGTATCGGTTACAGCTGATTTAAGGGTTGTGCCAAATCATGCCCCGGGGAGCTCCATCCCTTCTGGTTCACTGGGATCCGCAGCAGGCGGGAACAAGCTCCGCCCATCATGTTTACAATCCCACCTCCCCTCCTGAACAGCTATATCCCAAGGTCGCGATCTAAAGGAAAACATAACTTGTCCTTTTGGCCATATGGAAGCGATTTACTGCAGATCGGCCCTTCCTGTTGGTTTTAGTGCTACAGCGTTTCTCCAGCTCTTAAAGACAACACGTGATCGCATGAAATCGTCTGCGGGGCTGACTGCATTGTGATTTTTGATGGGAGGAAATTATACGTCTATGCCTTTAGCTAAATATACAACAATGGGCACTTTCTGGTGCAACAGAAAAAAAAAAAAAATGACTTGCGACGTAAACATGTGCAGATTTAGCACATGCCCAAAGAGTCATCTTAAAGCATATTGAGAGTTCCTGTCTTGATAACTTTAAGACATGACACCTGTGATCTCTGAGGAGTCAGAAGGAGAAAAACCAAAAGTAGAAATGAATATCTGGAATGAGGATCCAAACTGTGACAAAAATTTCACGTGGGGAAGCATCCAAACTTCCCAATCCCCATACAGAAGCAGAGCTGAAGTTTTGTTCTGTTAGGCAGGAGGTGCAGGTCCTTCTCAGTGCACAAACACGTACACACTGCCACTACATTATATTATTACAAAAAAAATGACTTGTGTGATTTCACTGAAGAGCAAATTTCAAAAACTTACTTTGTTATTTTTGTCGTAAGACCACCAATGACCTAAAGTCAGGCTTGGGGAACCTAAACTCACTCAGTCCTCATGTATTCCAAAGAAGAACTTGCGTCACATTTTCAAGACTCACTAAGTCAGCAGAAATTTTCCTCAAAAACGCACCCCGTTTGCCGAGTGAGTTTTTTACTATTTGCTCATTTATTCAAGTTAATTACCCCAGTTAAAGGATTGCATATGCATGTAAAGTGTTCTGGGGCAAAAGGTAGAGCAAGGCACTTTGTAAAAATGAACAGAATGAAATGGAAGTGGACAGCACAATGGCTCAGTGAGTAGCACTGTTGTCCCCAAGGTCGGGGGTTCAAACCTGTTGTGTGTGGAGTTTGCATGTTCTCCCCATTTTGGGCTGGTACTCTGGTTCATCCCACACTACTAAGGGTGACTGGTGTATGATTGCATGATGGTGTATGTTTCCTATGATGGATTGGAGTTTTGCCCACGGTGCCCCCAGTCTTGTGCCCTGTGTTGTCCAGGACAGGCTCCAGACCCATGTGTCTTTGTAAGCGGTCTGCAGATGGATGGAAGGATGAAAACAATGTATCAGACTGACATCTCCTGAGTTTTACGGTGACAGGTCTGATCGCTTAGCTGCTCCGGCTACCTGTCGCTTCGGGTACGAAACATGGGTCCAAGCCAGGGGCCCGAGCCAGGGGCCCGAGTCAGCCAGACTGGCAGGACCGCTGGCCTGCCCTCGCCACTCCCGGTCAGGAGAGATGCACAGCTATGAAAGCAAAAGCTAGAAAACTAGAACGGCCTCTTGGCGGAAAATGCGGCGGCGCTTTAAGCTTCCTCTGTTTCCGAGATCAAAGATAGAGAGAGGGAGAGGTGTGGGGGGGCGTGGGCGGATGGGGGGAGCTGCCTGAGTGAAGGAGTGTTTCAGCGGATCTGTGTGAAAAGAATGTGTTTGTGTGTATGACAGTGTGTCTGCGTATGAGTGTGTTTCTCAGCCAACCGCCTGAAAGTCTCAATAGACTCGTCTGCGGCCCTCAGGCTCGGCGACGAAGGGAGAACGAGACGTTTCCACGGCGTTTCCACGGCATCCGGGTTCCTCCCTGATGGACGCCTCACAACGGCTGCTGTCAAACCTCGATTTGCCTTGAACATACTACAGGTCAAAGCCCTTAAGGTGCCCTAGGCAAGCTTCACTGCCGGCGCCCCCCCCATCAGAGACAAAGTGATATCAGCTTGCTAAGTCGGTGCCCCCTCGCAAGATGCCACCCTAGGCGGCCGCCTATGTTGACCGGCACTGCTTGAGTGTGAGGTCAACACTGCTGCAGATGGTCTGAGCTCAGAACCAATCAGAGGCAGAGGGACACACTGACCCCTCCCGCACATTAAACAGCCCCTTACCAAAAGAAGGTTTAACTTTCCACTCTGTTCACAGGCAGATATAAAATGGCCTGATTATAAAGTTAACCGGGCTTAGCTACTTATCTGACACTTTCCGGATAATATGGATCTCATTCATTTTTAAATTAGTTTTTAATTTTTCGTTAACTGTGCTCACAGGCATTATCAGAATAGTGGTCAGGTTCAGCGTAACAGAAATTGTTTAGAAGGAGTGTGTGTCTTGTGTATTCTCAACTAGACCGAATAAAAATAGCATAAAGCAAAATCAGGGGCCTATATTACAAAGTTAGCAAGATAACTTAAACTAGACTTTATCTTTGTTCACCTGCTAAATCCTTAAATCCGACAAGTTATCTTGCTAACCCAAAAATCCAGCTTTGTAACACAGGAACCAGGATTGAGGAAGATGAAAAAATAAAATAAAAATAGAATTTCAAGTGACACTCACTTTCTAAAATTTTTATTCTGTCCAATGGTGAGGCGTAGCTGTTTAGGAAAAGTAACGACACAGAAACCAAAACATATTGTGATACTTCTGCTCCGCAGGCTTTTCGCTCCAACGATAATTTGAATTAACTGTCACGTCGAGTATTTATTGTTCAAAGTCC